ACAATCACTCGTACTTAATAATACCTAAGATGAGTCGCCCGTTCGTTTCGTGTTATTATTATTATTATTGTTGTCTTTCTTGCTAAACTTGCCAAGTTTTATTTTGTTTCTATTGTTTCGATTCTCTTTTCTTCTACTTACACTTGTTGCCATTATCTTATCTCGATTTAGTTGTTCTTTTTCTATTCATGCTATCGATTTCCCGCGCTTTTCTTTTCTTCTCCTTTTGCCTCTTCCTGTAGCTGCTCTTTGCTATCAACTTCCGGTGTCTTGCTTTTGTTCTTAGCATTGATCTCTTTCTGTTCTCTTCCTTTTCGTCTTTCTTTTCTACTCGTTGTTTTTTATTTTTATTTATTTTTATTTTTTTTCGGAGTTAGTTTTTTTCTATAACATTCTTCTTCTTCTTCTTCTTCTTCTTCTTCTTCTTCTGCTACTACTTTTTCTTCTTCTTCTTTTTCTTCTCATCCTCCTCCTTCTTCTTCTTCTTCTTCTTCTTCTTCTTCTTTCACTCCTCTTCCTCCTTCTTCTTCTTATGCTTTTTCTTCTTCTTCTTTTTCTTCTTCTCCTCCTCCTGCTTCTTCTTCTTTTAATTCTCCTCCTCCTCCTCCTCTTCTTCTTCTCATCCTCCTTCTCCTCCCTCTCCTCATCCTCCTTCTTCTTCTTCTTCTTCTTCTTCTTCTTCTATCTTTTCCCGTTTTTTTTCTTTTAATTCTTTTTCGAAAAAAAAAGAGTTAATATTTGCTGATGTTATCGCACATGTTTATTAACCATCTTTCATTTTCTTTTTCTTCTCCTTGAACGTTTTTTTTCTTCTTTACTAATTATCTTTTCTCACTTTTACTTCTAGTTTGTCATGTTTCCTTTCATATTTTTTTTTATAACTTCTTCCATAATTTTTCTGTTCTCTTTCTTCTGTCTTTTATATTTTTCTCTCTTCTTCCCGCTCTATTTTTTTCCCTTTCCTGTATTTGCACTTCTGATATCATTCCCTTTCCTCTTCTCTGTTTCCTTCTTATTTGCAGGCGTTTCTTTCATTATCTTATTTTTTTTTCTTTTACGTACTTTCTTCTAATCCTTCTACACCTTCTTCTAGTGTCTTTTTTTCTCCAAATCTTCTTTTCTTCTGCTTTTTCAGACGTTTCTTCTTTCTTTCTTTCTTTCTTTCTTTCTTTTCAATAATTCTTCATCTTACATTTCCCTTTGTCTACCCACTTTCTTCTTTTCCTTCTCTTACTGCCATTTTTAGTCCATCCGCCACACTCTTCTTCCCACTCCCGCCAAATTCAAGAACTTCTACCGCAGAAGCTTCTATCACGTGACTAATGCAAAGAAATTCCTGCAAAATACTTCTTTCAGAACAATTTCTTCTTTGTCTGGATATTTGTGAAAAGGCTTTTCGTTACTTTAGACACTATTTTTAAAACTAACATCTTCAAAGGCAGCAGCGTGTCGGCTGTCGGTGGGTGGGATGAAAAAATATGGCTAGATTTAAACGACTGCTAACGGTTGATCTTCTGAGCATAGACAGTAAAACAACTGCCATGGAAAAACAGATTACGAGTTCGAGTCCACTAAATCTTTATCCTTCATATCTAATCATTTTTATACTATTGTTCACTCAATACAATGCTTAAGACTCATTCAATGCCGAGTGTTACTGAATGACGTTGTTGTACGGGAGTCAAGGGACGAAGTGAGAATCGTCATATTATGAGTGTATATATATATATATATATATATATATATAATGGACAAGTCCGACAATTATTTTTTAAGACATTTTTTATGTTTATACGTTCTTCTTATAGATAGAAATATTTAAGTAAATGCTCTGTTTATAATAAACATTATTAAACAACATTTACCGGCCTGATTGTCCGAGAAATTTTCATAGAAAATATGTGTCCTCCAACAGGAATCGAACTTGTATCCTATACGGAACCGTCATATAGCCTGATTTGGCCACAGAGTAGCGTTCGGTTAGCGAGGCCGATTTTACTGTTTTTAAACACAATTCTCTATGATTTTCTCTCATACATTCATATCTGCTCAATGCGTATCCAAATGTAAACAAATGACCTCACACATTATGAAATGGACGAAGTCCGACAATTATTTTTTAAGAACGTATAAACATAAAAAATGTCTCATTATATATATATATATATATATATGTGTGTGTGTGTGTGTGTGTGTGTGTAATAGAAATTATTAGGAGGATTTGAGATAAATATATCCTATATTTGGGACTCATCAGCAGTGTGCATCCACTGCCGGACAGTTACGTTATGAGGCAAACGTCATACCAACTGTACCAACAGGCCGCGGTGACGAAGAGGTAGCGAATTAGACTTCATATAGCGCCGCTCGATTACATATTCCGTGGTGTAACTCATCCAAGTTTCCGTTACCCATAAGACTGTGCCCCCACGAGCAACGACTAGTATCACCAAGCCGCTCCATTGAGAGCATTAGAAGCTGACTCAAGTAAGGATATACAAGTGATAAAATAATTAGGATTTGAGATAATTATAATTAAGTAATTCATATATATATATATGTATGTGTGTATATATATATATATATATATATATATATATATATATATGTATATATATATATATATATATATATATATATATATATATATATATAAAACCGATGACAGTAGACTTGAAGAGAGTAAATTTGTCGTGTTAAGGAAAACATGCTCTAGAGAGTCTATTCTACAAAATAACGATTATCTGGAAAATGCTGAACTTCCTCCTTACTAATGGAATACAAAATTAATGAGGATAACGCCATCCTATGCACACAGCATAGCGGGTCCTAGCTGCGAAGGCCTGAACTAATGGAACGAAGGATGGTCGCTCTTCTGAACATTTGCCATGAAAATGACGAGTAGAGGGATGCTAGCAACGTTTCGTCTGGAAGAAATGTGTTGTAGGGTGGAAAATAATTGTGACGTCACCCTGGGCCTCTCCCGTGCTATCCTGTGACGATCTAACCCTTGGCTGATTCGGATGGAAATCTGGTTAGATTCGGCATCAGCTTTGTCGGCATCAGCTTTGTCGTTCTCAGCTCGCCTCCAACGTCTGGTTACCGAACTGCTTTGATTTCTAGTCCAACCTAACCACGTTGTGATTTGATCTTAGATAGACGAAATCAATCAGTCGTCGGGCCGTAGTACAAGCCGAATTCGAAGGTGACACCGCAGAAGTATATGTAAAAGAAAATAAAGTAACAACTCGAAAGATTCAAATGTGTTAAAAAAAGAATAAGTATCTTTATATCTGGTTGCTGAATACAGGTCTGCGTCTTTCTCCCAAACCGCTTCTATGGATTCGTGACACTTGGCGTTTCTTAGGCGAGTCTTAATATCTTAAGTTGCTTTTCGATAAACTGGTTTTTAGTATCTTCAGACGATATTCGTAAAACTTTTTTGGTGGTGTGAGTCGTTCTTCAAAAAAAAATTGTTTTTGGTTAGAAGTCTAAGTCTTTCAGTCATCTTCCGCTCACAGCTCAACTCTGTCTACTCTGTCACTCTGTCTACGTCTGACCAACTGCCACTGTCTCTGCCCTGTAACTCACTCTGCTCTGTGGACGTTCGTTTATATGGACGCCGACCAAAACCGGGTGCGGGCCTGTCGTGGTCTGGGTTCATCGATAATTCCAAATCCGCAATAAGGATTTTCTTTGTTTTCGGACAAGAAAATTTATCACTCAGAGGGCGTCAACAGGATTCCTTTCTTTCTCATAGTGGTATCTCACACCAATCCCCTCAGAGGCGTCAACATGTTTCCCTTCTTTCTCATATGTTTACCTTCGCCCATCGCCCACGCCACCATTCAATCAATGAACGCTCGGTAGTGTGGGTGTGGCTAGACTGGCCTCAGTTTATAATTATCGCTCAAAGAAAAAAAAATATCTTCCTTTTTCTTTTCTTTCTTTTCCGCGACTGGGACCCCCCGACTCGTCGTGTGGTCATTAAGTCTCTATCTTAGCTGAATGTCATCTGGAATTCAGCAATGAGATTTTCGTCAAGTAATTATCGGGGGTGGTCAAGTTAGTCTCTTTGTATCCTCAACGCCTTCGTACTTCTGCTGCCAACAGGCTGTCCAGGTAACAAACTTTTATCATGACAAGGTCTGGACATAAAACAGGTGTTCCCTTTCCAAAACCAAATGATATCTCCGAAAGATAGTTAATGGTTTATTCTTCTTCCTTTTTTTTCTTCCTCCTCCCTTTTTCTTTGGGGTGGTCTCAGCTGATCCTTTTCTCGGTCGATGCTCGACCTAATTCTGATTATCTTCTTGCCTTCCGCTTTGTAAGCCACTTGACCAATTTGAAATTTTCATTATTGCCATGGGCAGATTGCTATCTTTTATTCGCTGCGTCATGGCATAAATTAATTCTGACAGATCAGAGATCTCCCGAATTTCCTATCTTCTGCGGAAAAAATACTTTTCTTCGCAAATGAAAATAAAATCTTTACCACTTTTCTTTTGTTAAAAAAATAACATCGCTCAGTATGTCTTTCGTGATAGCTTCTTCTCGGCTTAAGTATTTCTCGCTTTTAATTTCCACGCTTAATTAGTTAGCCAAACGCTAAATAGTGTCGCATAATTCATCACCTACAAGACCGCGTAGTCGATTTTGAACTCTGGTATGGTGAAGATTGTGCAGCTCCAACTCAGATATCATTTAAAGTATTTAGTCAAGAGTGTGGAATGAAATTGTGGGGGTGCGACATAGCGTGACTGAAATTAAGATTAAACAAACAATAGACAAAAGTTAATGATAAGTGTCATCACTTCATCAAAAAAAAGATCCCTTACCTCATATTACAAGTGTATGCAAAACAAAGACGGCTGTGTATGTGCAGTCAGAGTTATTACTAAATTTGAATAATTGCCACCGGATAAACTCACTGGTAAACTGCTACAGAAAGACACCCTTCCAAAGGTAAGATATTTACCCAAGCCTCGTTGGAGATTTCAGGGCAACAGCAATTCTCGTACGATCACCGAAGTTAAGCAACGTCGAGACTGGTCAGTACGTAGATGTGTGACCGCTTAGGAGTACCAGGTGCTGTAATCTTTGATGTGCGGGTGGTGTAATCGATAATTCTTAATCAGAGAGTCGAGTTCAAGTTATATTCGTTATATAAACTTACGCACAAAAACCACTAGGGAAGGCATGAACCGATCTATTCTCCCTGCATCTATGGGCCAGTTAGTAAGACTTGTATCACTAAATCATTATTATCTCAAAAAAATTCCTACAATCTAAAAAATATTTTCTGGCTTTAAATAACCCGCAAAGGGATGATAAACCGTAGAAAGCGAACCAATCAATCTGGATATTGGATATTTATTTATTATTACCATTAGTTTATTTATTTATTATCATTAGTTTATTTATTTCTTATTATCATTGTTATTAGGAGCATTTGAGATAATTATAACTGGACGGACGTTTCGTCCTATATTTGGGACTCATCAGCAGTGCGCATCCATTACCGAGAATTGAAAACCGGACGGTTACGTTATCGCTATACCTCTATCATTAGTAAACAGTCTAGACTGCTTACTAATGATATGGGTATTGCGATAAAAGGTAACTGAAATTAAGATGGTACTGGTCAAAAATTAATATCTTCATTATTTTACTGCTTTTGACCACGTTATATTTAACAGGGCAGTGAAGGAAAGCAAGAAGAAAGGACTAACTATTAACTAGAATAAAACTATATATTGTCCTATGCAAAAGAGACACATGCCACACTAAAAAAGGGTAGGAAACAGTGAGTGACTTACCTGAGGAGTGTAGAAGACAAGCTAGATGATCACCAGCACAATAGACAGTCCAAAGTGTGAGCTAATAATTCGAGATGTCAGAATCAAGAATTTGCATAAATTTATCTAATTGTGTAGTTAACGACGGTAAATATGATAGAAATTCGAACGAGCAATGAAATCTCTAATACTGCCTTCCAGAAACGAAAAGATTAAGGAACGGGATACTATTGTTGCAAACAAATAAAAGAATCTGTTACGTTTTGCAGATCTCTCTGCGCATTAATAGTCGTAGCACAGTTCTTCGTGTCCAGAATAGCGACCAAGCTTGCTAGGCATAGCCCACCCCTATGTTACCCAATTGTTCTCTATTTATATTTGTCTATCTAATTTTCATATGATACCACAGAATGCTTAGCTGCTATGTCGTATCTTTCCCCCGATATGGCAGTGAACGCTGAACAATTTTATTACAGATGAAGCAGAGCCTTGAAACGCTAGAGAGGTGGTTATTCTAATGTATGTTGAGAATACCATGGAGCGAAGATATGACCAATGTGAAAGTTTTGAAGAAAACAACAGTTAAAATGATATTTATACTTACAGATCACGAAAGCTGTTAGGGAAATGTAACTAAATATACTTCAATATTTAAAAATTACTCAGTATTATTATTGTTTAGTAAATAAGCATTAAAACATAGCACAAATAGCTATATTGTGGAAAAGGAAGTTACAACAATATACGCATTTTTTACGTATTTAAGGTTATTTTTTTTTATTTTTATCAAAATGGCATTCTTGTACATATACTTACGAATAATATTATACATTAATTACTATTTTTTAATTAATAACTATTTGTGCTCAGTTGTTGGAATTAATAGCTATCTGCTGATGTGTTAAAATTTTGGAATAATGCAATGATAAAATTAAAATTAAATTTCATCTCTCTGATAGACGTCGCGATCTGTTAAAATAAAAAAAAAAATTTAAAAAAGTTGAAATATATGGAACTCATAATGAGGAAAGAATCCTAGGAGAGTTTAATACTCACATGATATACTCTAATCAAGAAAGAAACATCAAATGACCTGTCCTATCAGTGAATATAAAAGGATAACAAAACTACTGCTGCTATATATGGTCTGGTGCCACCCCCCCGCTGTACGTCTCGACCTCCTCGGCAAAATCCAGAGACGTGATGGGTCTTGATCCAGCATCTCGTCTATAGCCACTGTCTCACAGACGTGTCATGGCTTCCCTCTGTCTTTTCTACATGAACTTTCACGGCAACTGCTCCGACGAGCTACTTTCGCTGGTTCCCAGCCTGTATGAATTTAAGCGTGCTACTAGGTTGGCATCACGGTCCCAACCCTCTCAGTGTCAAAACGGTTAAATGTAGCTATCTCTTCTACTCCAGCAGCTTCTTCTCTCGCACTTCCCGTCTGTGGAACTTCCCCCTCTCACTTGTTTTCATGATAACTATAATCTTCAAATATTCAAGTGTATTGTCAATCGATATCTTCTGGTGCCTTGATCCTACTCCCCGTCCTTCCCTTTAACCTTTCCTCAAACACGCCTCTTTGCTTTTGTTCTCTACCAACTGTAACCCCTTGTGCGCTAATGGTACCCCCGCGCCCGTTGCTTGGGGGTGATATGCTTAAAAAAACAGTGGGAAACTAAAGAGGGTAACAAAAGGTACAAGGCATGGGAAGTCACTTGCAGTGTGAGGTCTGAAGAGGGACAGCATCCAAATGAAAATGTTTAACAGCCTATTTTTGGTTATTGAGCCGTTGCAGTAATATGCCGATCCCTAATTCTACTTCCGGTTAATTTGTTCTGATTTAGTACCTATTCCATTGTTAAGTATCCCTCAGACAGGATATCCGTAGACATGTATATAGGAAAATAATCTCTTCTGGGAGAATAAAAAAAGCATTCAGTTCAAAATTGTCTGTCGGTGAAGCGCATCGACGGACACATGAAGAAGGCTGGACGAATATAACCGAAACGTTGTAAAAATAGAAACAAAGTTGTATATGCAATCAACTATATATATATATATATATATATATATATATATATATATATATCAATTTCAAGTTGAGCTCTCTCTGGGGACGAGGCGTGGGTTGGTAAACGGTGACTATTATAGTTATATGACTCTTCGCAGATGCGAATTGAGTCACTGTCGGTCACTGGGCGTGTTTCTAAAATAAATACGCTAAAAAAATCAACTTTCATCCATACCGTCGGCTTAATGGTTAGAATCTCCGACTGACACCAATTCAGTCGGGTTTCGATCCTAGCAAGAGGCAACCGGATGTCTAGCCACACTGATGAGCTGCGAAACAGTCTGTCTGTGGATGACGTTATATATATATATATATATATATATATATATATGTAGAAATTTTATAAGTATAAGAATCTATACTCATCCGGAAAAACTTTGGTGTCTTGATTTGCAAATAAACAAGCCAATACCAAAGGGTAAAAAAAAAGAAAGAACCAAGAACATGTACGTTAACCGAAAATAATCGTCCTGCATGCATGTCCAAGGCCAAAAGCAAAAAAACCCCGATGCGAGTACGCAAAACAACTATCCGCTTAGGTGAAACCTTAGTAGGTCTGACTGGCTGTCGAGGTGTAACTATATATATATATATATATATATATATATATATATATACCATAAAGAAGTCTTTTAAGGGTTCGTGTGCTTACTATTTAAAAACTCATATATATATATATATATATATATATATATATATATATATATATAAAGAAATATAGTATTAAGGTGTGCTATATTTATAGGATAAAGTACTCAATATCAGAAATAGAGCGTATGTATATGTTTAAATATAAAATGAAATATAAAAATATATAAAAAGTCAGGCCTGACGATTAAGTCTAGCATGAAACAGCCTGTCCCCTCTGAGTGTTGAATTCAGTAATCACTTTTATACACACACACACATAAACACACACACACACACACACACACATATATATATATATATATATATATATATATATATATATATATATATATTTTGCTCCAACAAAAGACTCATTTCCGTAGTTTACTGCTAGCAGCAAACAGAAATATTCCTCCTCCCGATGATGGCCATTTTGTTCGAAACTTGTCGAGGAATCTAAATGAAATAATAATAAAAAAAACGAAAGAATATTAATCTACAACCCAGTGTGTCTAAAGATTTTAATTTTTTAATTTTTTTTATTGTTCAATATATATATATATACACACACATATTCCCAGATATGATTAAATAGGTGGGCCGACTGAGTTCTATAGCCTTGGATGGCAACTGATCTAGGAGAAGAAAAACTCTGAATTCAAAGCGTACGGAAGGTTGTTTGGGGACCTTGTGGCACGTGCTGCAACAGGTGTCTATATCGGCTCTTCAAAAAGTGTGGTTGGTTCTGCACAAAGCCTTCACCACTATAATCAAATTATATGTGCTGGTGTCTTGGCTGTCAGTTCCTGGAAAGTAAGTTGCTTGACCCTCATACGTCGAATACGATAGGAGAGTCCTGCACTTATATAGCTAGCTAGCTAGCTAGCTATATACTGCTAGATAGATAGATATGGTTATTGTAAAAAAAAAAATACGTATACGGACATATACTTGCACGTATATCTATATATATTTACTCGGGTGTTATAAAAACAGTGCTCGATTTTTGCGCAATTCTCGGCCTCAAAAGTCATGCCCGTCATAGGCATGCAGTTGATTAGTAGGTGATCGTCGAAACCTCATACATCGACCTCGACAGAGAGTTCATTATATATATATATATATATATATATATATATATATATATATATATTATTCTATTATAATATTCTTCGTTGATTGCACAACTCGGGGTTTCCTGCCATTTGCAACCTTCAGATTGCAAATGAAACAATGAGTTATGCAATCAATGTAAAGCATTATGTATATTTTGTAATATATTAAATATCTCTATTATTTAACCTTCACCACTGTTTTTTCTTCTTCTATTGGCTATGCATATATATATATATATATATATATATATATATATATATATATTTGTATACGAACACTTGCTCTTTATACCTTTGATTATATATATATATATATATATATATATATATATATATATATATATATATATGGCAAAACAATTTTTTCGTGTGACTTATTCGGATTTCGTTTACAATGTTGTGATTACATATGCTCGTGAAGAATTAGGGACACTCAAATGTTAAAGTTCGATTCATATTTTGTATGGATATATGGTAT